CCAGGAGCCTGAAGCCAAGACACGGCCTCAGGGAACTGCCCTGCAGCCAGGAACGGCCGGGAGAAGCCGGGCTAGGCAAGGAGCAGCGCTGGCTCAGGCCCCCCAGGGCCCAGCGCCCTCCGTAGGATTTAGGGGGCACTGGGATTTGGATCCTTCCGCAAGGCACGGATGCGATAGCGGTAACACGCGTTTTACACCAAGGTCCCCAGGCACTGGGGATGGCAGCAGGGGCTGCCACGAAAGTGGGTGGGACCACGTATCTATTTGTTCGTCTCTAGGGGCCACGGGGCACTCGTCTGTACACGGCCGCCCCTGGAGACAGCCCCTTCGGACCCGACTGCCCGGGCTGGGCAAATGGCTGTTAAACGGCTCCATGCCGCTGGGCAGGCTCTTCCAGGCGAGACGGGCACAAGCAGGAGACACACAGGATGGAGGGGAGGAGCGGAGGGACGGACCCATCAGCTTTTAGCAGCAAGCAGGAGACCATTCCAGAGGCACTGCCCGCGGGGCTAGGAAAGCGGGTTTCCGTTCCTCCAGGGGTCCATTTTTGCCCAGGTCTGCGCTCCTGTAAGAGGCACCAGCCCTGCCGGAAGGTGCTTGGCCCCCATCGGCGGGGGACTGGCTTGGATCTCCCTTCCGCTCAGGGAGGTGGGGAGACGCAGGGCCCATCAGCTGCCAGCCTGTTTGGTAACGAGTCTGACAGGCAGCGCTACAGCGAGAGGTGAAGTCGCCTGGCTGCTCCCTCATTTGCCCAGGAGGCAAGAGGCTTAGAGACGCTGCTTCCAGCTGCTCAGCAGCCCCCGATTTGTGAGGCTACGGAGAGATCAGACTCCTCCTCTCTGGAGACCCAAACTGCCCTTCCTCCCAGAGCCCAGGGGTCCCTCCTGGGAGCGCGGCTGGAAGGACCCCCATCGGCAATGCCATGCCGAGCGGCTACGAATGGGTCCCAGGCCGAGGAGGGCTGTGCAGAGCTGTCACTGTTATTCAGCTGCCCTCGGGAGCCATGGAAACACCGTTCCATGCGGCTGCCGAGTCACCCGGGTGATATCCTGGCAACCGGGATCACTGTAGCTCTCTCGCGGGGTGCGTTTGGAGGAAGGCTGCAGACACAGTCACACCCCACTGAGAGAGAAAGCGAGCTGCTTCGTTCGGTGTGCCCTGCCGGCAATCTGTCCCCATACAGACGCCTGCTGCCTGGCCTCAGCCTGGCCACCCAGCTCCCAGGAAGAGGCCCTCCTACCTCTGCCGTTCCCGCATCTCCGCCGGAGTCCACGAAGAGCCGTACAGCGTCAGCTGCCACTGCTTCAACGTCCCCAGCGTCAGGGTCCCATCCCCTGGAACAGCCAAGGGAGGACAATCCTACCAGGCTCGACTGGCACCTGCCGCTGCAGCGTCCCAGAGGACACAGCCTTCCCGCTTGCCCTGTGTGCCGGGCCGGCCTTACCATGAGGCGAACTGAGGCGGCCGGCTCAGGTGCCAGACTGAGGGGGGAGGGCGCCACTCGGACCCAGAGAATCGAGACCTTTCACAGTCTTGGCCCAAGCGAGGGGGCGTCAATTGAGCTCCCCGCCTCAGGTGCCAAAGTGTTGTGGGCCGGCCCTGCCTGTGTGCCTGCTGGGCTGGGAATGAACGTGCTTGGCACTGTTCTGCCATCACGTGGGCAGTGGGCACGTGGCCCCCGGGGCAGCCGGCCGGCACACAAACGCCTGCTCCCCTCGTGGTTCCTGAGAGGACCCACATCCGAGCACCCCGAGAATGCACGGCAGTGCCCACGCCCAAAAGCACCGCTCGCTGCCAGGTAGGGCTGCCAGATGGTTTAACCAATAATACCGAACACTCCTCCCCCGCAAAAAAAACCAAACAAACCACTGGGGAAAAAATTCTGTTGAGGAAAAAAAAAAAGGGGGGAGACCAAAGTTGTTGAGGGAAGAAAAAAACAAAAATCCCTGAGAGTTAAGCAAAAACAACCCAGCATGGCCCCTTTAAGAAATGCTTTTGAGGCTCTTTGGCTCTAACAGGCTGCTGGCAGCCGTCTGCCATCTTGTCTCCCTGCTCCGGGCTGGACAGCTCCCTGTGGAACCAGGTAAGCACCCGGGATTTTCGCCTCCTGGCCGGGAAAATACCGGACATTGTAGGTACCCGGTATTCTCGGAATTTTTTTACCAGACAGGAGGCGAAAATGCCGGCCTGTGCGGGTCAGTACCGGACACCTGGCCACCCCGCAGCCAGGCTGAGCCCCAGCGGCTCTGCAAGCAAATGCCATTGGTGGCCAGGGCTCTGGTAGGCCTCAGCCCCAAGCAGCCTGAGCCACGGCA